GCTTCACACACACTCTAAAAATGTTTTGTTCATTTATGTTTATTTGGTAACTAAGACCTAAATTAACTGATTTTACTTCTGACTAAAGAAGTAATTTGTAAAGGTCAAATTAGAAAACAGTATTTGCAACTTTTTTGACTCTTATGCTCACCAAGGCTAAAGTTATTTGATCAAAAATACAGTAATATCGTGAAATATTATTACAATTTACAATTTTCTGTATTTTTATATTTAAAAATTATTTCAGTGAAGGCAAAAGTGAATTTTCAGTAGCCATTAATTCAGTCTTCAGTGTCATTTTAAACAATTCAATGCATCATTGCTGAATAAAGGTAAAACAATAAAGTAAATCTTACTGATCCTAATCTTTTGAAAGGTGTTGTTTCTACAGCTCTGTTATTTTCACTCAGACCACAAGGTAGCAGGCTACAAACGGACATCTCTCTTGTCTTAGACTACTGTATATAACTTGAAAAAGGCCTTATAATTTAAATTAAATTATAATTTAATTTAAATTATAAGGCCTTTTTCAAGTTATATACAGTAGTCTAAGACAAGAGAGATGTCCGTTTGTAGCCTGCTACCTTGTGGTCTGAGTGAAAATACTCAAGTAAAAAAGTACTGATAGATAGATATTTACCTTGTTGCAATAATTTCTGCTCAGTTTTGTGAAATGTAATAGTTTTTTTTTCATCTGTATGTAAATAATAAGTGTTAAAGTGCAGTGAATTGCTGGCACCACTGTGATTTTTCTTAAGGCACCAATTTGGCTTTTATTATTGTTATTTTTTTATTATAGCTTATTGTTAATTAGTGTGTCTTCTTTTTAATTGAAGTAAAACTTTTTTTTTTCTTTTTTTGTAGCAGGTTGAGATTTCTAAAGATGTTTTTATTTGTATGTCTATATAATTTAGAGTTTTAAATTAAATTATAATTTAATTTAAATTATAAGGCCTTTTTCAAGTTATATACAGTAGTCTAAGACAAGAGAGATGTCCGTTTGTAGCCTGCTACCTTGTGGTCTGAGTGAAAATACTCAAGTAAAAAAGTACTGATAGATAGATATTTACCTTGTTGCAATAATTTCTGCTCAGTTTTGTGAAATGTAATAGTTTTTTTTTCATCTGTATGTAAATAATAAGTGTTAAAGTGCAGTGAATTGCTGGCACCACTGTGATTTTTCTTAAGGCACCAATTTGGCTTTTATTATTGTTATTTTTTTATTATAGCTTATTGTTAATTAGTGTGTCTTCTTTTTAATTGAAGTAAAACTTTTTTTTTTCTTTTTTTGTAGCAGGTTGAGATTTCTAAAGATGTTTTTATTTGTATGTCTATATAATTTAGAGTTTTAAATTAAATTATAATTTAATTTAAATTATAAGGCCTTTTTCAAGTTATATACAGTAGTCTAAGACAAGAGAGATGTCCGTTTGTAGCCTGCTACCTTGTGGTCTGAGTGAAAATAACAGAGCTGTAGAAACAACACCTTTCAAAAGATTAGGATCAGTAAGATTTACTTTATTGTTTTACCTTTATTCAGCAATGATGCATTGAATTGTTTAAAATGACACTGAAGACTGAATTAATGGCTACTGAAAATTCACTTTTGCCTTCACTGAAATAATTTTTAAATATAAAAATACAGAAAATTGTAAATTGTAATAATATTTCACGATATTACTGTATTTTTGATCAAATAACTTTAGCCTTGGTGAGCATAAGAGTCAAAAAAGTTGCAAATACTGTTTTCTAATTTGACCTTTACAAATTACTTCTTTAGTCAGAAGTAAAATCAGTTAATTTAGGTCTTAGTTACCAAATAAACATAAATGAACAAAACATTTTTAGAGTGTGTGTGAAGCGAATAATTTCAACATGATACACAGACTGTTAAGGACAACAACAACCGTAGAGTATTTATTAACAAGTACACCAGTGTAGTTTATTTATGCAAGCAGTTTGTCCCTACAGATCAGAAAAGCCACTGTCAAGCGGTTGGCACATTTATGTACAAAACAAATTAATGATACGGCTTGCTACTAAGCATTCTTTAGTGAGAGTACAAAAAGATTAGTATATGAGGACAGAGAGAGTGAGCCAGAGTAAGAGAGAGAGAGAGAGTGAGCCAGAGTGAGAGAGTGAGAGAGAGAGAGAGAGAGAGAGAGAGAG